GTGGGGAGGGGGTTGTGATGAGGATAGGGGAGGGGGTGTTTGCGGGTTTCGCGCGCAGGGATTCGAGGCTGGGGGAGCGGGTTGGCTAGGTACATTGAATGGCTACGCGACATAGATCCTTTGACTGTAGCCTAGGCCATGTAAGAGAGGGGGAGGGGGTGATGGCTTGAAGGAAGCAAACCAAGAAAAAAGTACAAGAAAGAAAATAAAAGCAAGAAAAAATTACCAGCAAGAAAGGAATTGAAAGGAAGAAAAAAGCACAAGCAAGAAGGAAAGTAAAATCATGGAAAGCGAGCGAAAAACCGGCCACCAAAAGGGACACACCTACCTACAAAGCTGATGCTTAGGTGAAGAAAGCTGAAGCGAATAAGGCAAACTGATGCTTAGTTAAAGCTGAGAGCTCTCAGGTTTACCTAAGCATCAGGAGTTTGATCCCTCAGCTTTACCTAAGCATCAACAATTTGATTTCTCAGCTTTGCCAAAGCATCACCCTCATAAGTAAGGAGTCTTTAAGTAAGCGGAAAACTCGTTACCAGCAAATTGTGGGAAAGCAGTGAGTGCTCAGATACCCAAATAAGCGAGTCTGTATGTGCATTAGCTATTGTCCGTGCTGTGTACTGTAAACACAGACGGCAGAGTCGGTGCGGGATGGGGGTGGGAATCATCAGTACAGTGCCCCATTCCGCCGTGTTTTGAACGAATATTTGACTTTTCAAAGGAAGATGAAGGAGGAAAGAAAAGATGTGGAGGTCACGGTACGTGAAATAACTGTTAAGAGATATAAATAAAAGTAAAACTAACATGCAGCAAATACGTCTCCAACTTATCTTTAAGAAACGATCAGAGGAGAGGACTTATCGTAGTCGTTCTAAAGGATGGTTGCTTTTGGTACAAGCTACCACTCCGGCTACTTTATAATGTCTCTGCTTGTCTCAGGGACTGTGATGCTGGTGGCATTTACGTTTGAACCTCCAAGAGAAGTTGTGATTTTGATCGTTTGGTGTCAGTAATATTTGAATTGAAATTTGTATCATTATGTAGTATCAGCAAGGCAAATTGTGCATGTCTTTTCATTTGTTCTGGCGCTGTGATATACATTTGAAGAAACATTTTTTAGATGTGTAATTTTTTCTTGTTTTTGCGAGGATTAGGTGGCGCACGGGATGTGAAATTAAACATGGTAGATTTCTTGTTTTGAGCCTCATACCTGCATCTTGATATCAGTACCTTAAGTATTGAAAACTTCGAGGGGCCAGTGAAATTTTTCTTTTAGACCTATGGATCGATGATGTGGCATGTCAAAAATGGTGAGGCAGAACTTCTTAGTGCTTC